CAGTAGTGACAACCAAATACGTATCTAGACATTGCCGGGTGTCCACAGGGGCCAAAGTTGCCCCCAGTTGAAAACCACTGATGTGATCCACAAGGATGCCGTCCGCTTAAGAAATGTGCTGTAATAAATATTTTCAGTCTTAAACCCTGCGGTCCATAAATGTAGTAAGTGACCCCAGCGCTCATTTTCCTGGGGGGAGGGACCCCCTCCCTGTGGACGTGCCTGGGAGGGTCTAGCTGAGTGCACACGAGATACTTCTAGAGCTTTCTAAGTTCGGATTTCAGTTTGGGTTTTTCCCCCAAAGCGGAGAAAGCCCGGGAGGAGGATGGTATCTGAGGGATGCGGCGGGTGAAGCGGCCGCGGTGGGTTTACAGCGACAGGCCTGCCACCGCCCGGGCTGCCTCAGGCGCTTCTGCCCGCGGGCCGGGGTTCTCCCGGCTCATCGCTGCGGGGAAGCCAGCTGCCAGCACAGCCCCGTCTGCTGCTGACCTACGTGTCGAGGGTTAGAGTCAAGTTTCAGGGCGCCTTAGGGCAGCCGTGAGCGTCCGGTAAGGAATCTGAAAACAACGCAGCAAAAGCGTCCGAGACAACACCGCTGCCCGAGTCTTGCCCACACAGCCACCAGAGCAGTGCACCCGGCACACAGCAGGCGCTCAGTAAAAACATCTTAAATGAATGAATTTTCAGTCTTTCTAAGATATGTCTGCACCTACTTGAGCCTCGCAGCTCTGCGCCCGGCTCCCGCTGCTCGTGGCTGCGGGTGCTGCAAAGGTCCTGGGGCAGACGCGCTCCCTTGACTGCCTCGCTCCCGTTGATACCTTTCGGTGAATGTTCAGTACTAAACTCAGTGTATTGGGGGCGGGGGCCAGGGAAAGTGAAATATCACTGGCATCTTTTCATGGAAATGATATTTCTGATTCAGCCCAATAGTGTGCTTACCACTAAAACCCGCAGGTAACTCCCGTGCTCAGTTTTGATTCATGACACCAGGAGGTCGGGTATCTCACCGAGGTTTCAGGTTTTAGGAATCCACCCCGAGTGCCAGGCAGAGAAGTTCTATGAGGTCACATGTGGAAATATTCTCAGGCTCACAAAGCAAAGCCAGTGTCATGCCACAGGGTCCTCCGCTTCCATGACCTCCTCCGCCTGAAAGCATGACTAAGGGCCTTCGCTGCTGCGTTTTCTGCAGGCATTGGACGGCTTCATCATCGCCGTGACGACGGACGGCAGCATCCTCTACGTTTCTGACAGCATCACGCCTCTCCTTGGGCACTTACCGGTGAGTTTCCGCTCCCCCGAGGGCTTGGCCAGGACATGTTCTGATCCTTCCTTCGGAACCATCCAGAACTAAGGTTAGGGTGGCGCGGGGTCTGTGTGTGAGGATTCAGGTGCACCCTCGACCAGACCCAGGCCAAGGTCCCAAGGGCCCGCCAGAGGAAGGGCCAGCGCAGGTGGGTCATCCTGGATCGAGTGAGGCAGCAGGGCCTTGGCCAGACCTGGGTGGTGGACATGGTGCGGGTCCTGTGCCCCAGACCCCACCAAGAAGCGGCAGCCTGAAGAGGGTCGCAGCAGTTAGCAGAGCTCAGAGCCTCTGCAGAGGCGGACGGATGTCCTCCTGCAGGGGGAACCCCAACACCTGTGTCTAGAAATGGGCACCAGGTGGCTGCAGATGTGTGTGGTTCGGAGATCACTGGGGACATGACTGAGATTACAAGGAGGTCATGACGCTACTGGTAAGGGTTCTGCAATAGGGCTGGTCCCTGGGGGATTGAAATACTCTGGGGAGACGCTGTTGGCCCAGGAAGGTTTGGGGGAACGAGGAGGGTTTGGGCAGCCAAGAGGAGAGGGCAGGCGTCGCTGTCCCGGGGGAGCCAGGCTGAGGTAGGAGGCCAACGTGTGGTGCCTGTTCCGAGGCCTCACGAGTGTCCCTCCCTCCCCATTTCCTCCCTTCTCTCCTGCTCTTTGCTTCTCCCTGATTTCTTTCCCTCCTTCCCTCCCTCCCTAATACTTCTCCTCTCAAATGAGCCTGGCGGGCTCTCCGGCAGCCCACCCCCAGCCCCACCCGCACCCTCTGTCCAGCTGAGCGCCTGGCTGTGAAGGGCCCGCCTCTGAGGGTCCCTCACAGGCGTCCGGCCAGCCTTCTCTCACCTTCCGCAACAGTACGTATTCCTACAGAGCCTGCCCTCGACCGACAGCTCAGCCAGGAGTGCTCTGCGGGCGGAGAGGCCTCCCCCTCCTCCCAGCAAGCCCGCCGCGCCTGATAGCCCCCACTGCTCCCCACTGCCCCCCTCTGCCGGGGGGCTGCCACTGCCCGTGATGAGGGGGGCAAGGCCTGGGCACGGCCCCTGCACCTAGGCACCCCTGGGCCCGCGTGGTGCTGGAGGGCTGGCTTGCCTCCCCTGAGCCACGCCTGCCCCGCAGCTATGGGCCTTCCTCTGTGAGCAGCTTGTCTCCGGGGTCATGGCCCTGGTTTGCTGACTGCCCGGGGCTCCGCGTCATCCGGGTCATGTTTTTCCTCAGAAGCCGTACCCCTCCCACCATTTCTGCACGTGACGCTGTGTGGAGGTCACAGCCACGTCCCCCCCTTTCCTTCACCCGTCACTGTGCTTAGCCCAGAACAGCACGCCTTTCCCTGCTACGTAGATGCCTTTTATTTTGCCAAAATCCATCCAACCCCTGCTTCGCCCCATTTCCTGTACACTTTCAGGGCGCACTAGGCTGAGGGTGGGGGTTCTCTCCTCTGATATCTGTCGGAGAGGCTTGTTCTCACTGCCCCCTAAGGAGTCAAGAGCGCAGTTCCATCTTGATTCGAGTCTCAGGCTGGAGGACTAGGGGTGAGGCCAATATGAGGGGTACGGAAGGGACCCCAATCAGCCGGCTGCTCTGAACCAATTGCCAGGAGCTGAGGAAGAAGAGGGCATGGTGCCCCTTTGCGGAGGGTTTGCGTTTTGTGAAAGGACAGGGTTGGGCCCGTGGGGCACTGTTGACAGCAGATGTCGCCAGCTCGACGCCAGGGCATGGGCGCTGGGGCACAGCTGCCTGAGTGAACAGGATCCGCGCTGGGCTGCTTTCCGCTCTCCTAAGTACCTGATGACCCAGTTGCTACATATGGCAGAAGGGACTTAAAAAATAAATCAGGAATTCTTCTGATTTGAAATTATGAAGCAATTTAAGACCACCTTTGTCACTATTTTCTAACTCTGGAAGGGCCAGAAATGACCCTGACTCTAACTGGTCAGTGCTCAGCGTCTGCGTTTCGACCGAGCCACCCTCAGGCTCCCCGCGGAGGCGAGCCCAGGCTGGACAATCCCCACGTTTAACTTCTGTTTACTTCTAGCTTGCATTATCCAGTTTTCACCAAGACTGGATTTTCTTTCTCCTTTCTGCTTAGCATTCACTTGCATCATTTGCTAGTGGGTGGACCACGGCGATTAAAATGGACACTTCCCTGGTGCTAATCAGCACTTAGCCGGTTGAGTAGGAGGTGAGGAAACCGGGGCACAGAGCGGCTAAGGCCCCACAGCCAGCAAGCGGTGGGGCTGGGATTTGAACTCTGGGACTTTGACTCTGGACCTTGGTGCTCAACCACTACTCAGAATTCCATATAAAGCAGAGGGAAGCTGAGTGTTCTCCGGGTAGAGTGGGTGGTTAGGAAGGGAGAGAATGATGGATTGAGGGCAGTGGTCAGCCTTCATGGACGACCTGGCCATTGAGGGGAGGCGGGGACACAGCGCGAGCAGGGCCACGGGAAGCCATGGGCCCCACCGCAGCGTAGGCTGGCGTGCCAGGGGCCGGGTCCCACTGCCCTCGTGTGGCCTAGGATTAGAGGACCGTCGGTGAACGGGGTTGGGGTTTAAGAGCAACAAGAATTCCTTTTTGTTGCTGGGGTGAGGCTGCCAGCACACCGTCTCCTTCCTACTGCTGGAAACTCGGACATGGCAAAAGGTCCCCTGATAGACTTTTGTACAGAAATTTCCTGGCGAAACATTCTAGAACTTTCTTTTCCAGTGTAATAGAAAAAAGGAAGAAAAAATAGCTCAAGGCAGAAAATGATTTGAAGATATAGCCAAATTTTTCCATGGTGGGACACCAGTGCGTTTCACCGCCTGGAATGAACACAGGTAGTCGGGGAAGAAAAACGGACAAGGTAGGGGCAGGCTGGTGGAGACCCGGGGCTAAAAGGAGCCCGGGTGTGAAGACCTTCAGGGAAGACCCAGGGGTGAGCGTCAGTGCCTTGCACAGAATGGGGAAAGAGTGGGGCCCAGGCAAATGAAGCAAGCCAGAGTCGGCATTGCCTGCATTTCCCGTTGGACTTTTTGTTTTCCTTTTTGTTTTTAGTTTAACTTCCCAGCTTGCTTTTTTGGTGTGTTATGAATGTGCTGCCTGCCTAATGAGCTTGACCACGCTGAGTTCAGAAGGCAGAAACCCTGTCCTCAGCACTGAGCACAGCGCCCATGTGCCCGAATGCTCACTGAACCCAGGGAGGGGTCTGTCCGCGGGGCTGCAGGAACGGGAGAGACTGCAGACGGCCTGGCCGGGCTGGGCGTGCGTCAGGCGAGAAAGAAAGTAGCCTAAGGTGCACGTGATTATAAAGTTGGAGGAATCTACAGATCACAACATGCTTTCATGCAATGCTGGTGCCCCAAGTGAAAGCTCCAGAGAGACATGCAGATCAAAGAGAAATATGGGGCCAAGTCCCTGTGGCCGGGTCACTGCTGGGAGAGGAGGTTGTCGAGAAGGAAACACAGAGCCCCTGGCTGATTCGACTGTGAAATGCGGTAGCAAGGCCGAGGCCACGAATCCCTTTCCACCCTGCCCTCACCTGCTGGAAGAACCCATCTGATCCAGGTCATTTGTTTTTATTTCTTTTTCTTTTTTTAATTTTTTTTTTTAATATATCTTTATTGGTTTCAGAGAGAGGAAAGGAGAGGGAGAGAGAGATAGAAACATCAATGATGAGAGAGTCATTGGTCGAGCCTGCAACCCAGGCATGTGCCCTGACCAGGAATCGAACCCCAATCGCCTGGATCCTAGGTCGACGCTCAGCCACTGAGCCACGCCCGGCCGGGCCAGGTCATTTGTGACAGGTGGCTCCAGGTCTGGGCAGAGTTGTGGGTGGGAGGGCTCAGTCTAGAAGGGGCCCCTGCAGGTGTGGCTACGGCCCTGAGTTGATCTCAGGTTCAAGTCCAGGCCACCAGGTAGATTTTTTTTTCGTTTTCCATATCACACATACAGAAACATACTTCTGTAATAAAACATCCGTTCGTTTTTTAAATTAATGATAAATGAGCATGAACACCCATCTAGCTCTCGCCGAGGTCATGCCCCAGCTCGTGGCAGGACCGTCGGCACTCCTGGCTGCTCCTTCCCCAGCATACCCCACCTTCCACCGACAGGTGACCGTTTTCCTGACTTTTAAGGTCATTGTTTCCTTGTTTTCTTAGTAAGCATTTTTTCCATGTTCTCAGCACTAGTTCTCTATCAAGGTCCCAGGGACAGCTGAACACACACACCAGGCACTGCTGAGATCAACAGCTGCTCATTAGTAACATATACTCGTGTAGCATAGGATTAGAGGACCGTCAGTGAATGCGGTTGGGGGTGGAGGAGGCACAGGGCCCCGCAGGCTGCAGTCCGGGACAGGGTGGCCCAGCAGGGGATGTGGGGAGCAGGCTGTGTAGTAACGAGAGGGTGAGGGCCCCTAGTCCCCACAGGGGTGAGACTGGCCTCTTTGAATAATTCTGCAGGTAGCAGGGGACTAAACCCTGCACTCGGGATAAGCGGAGCCCACACCTGGTCCCCTGGGCAGGGGTTGTTTAGCTAGGGGACCTCAGCTCCGGGACCGAGTGCAGGGAGGAGCTTCCCTCCGCCAGCCGCGTCTGTGTGCTGCTTGCCAGGCTCTGCCTGGTGCAGCGGACGTGCTGCCGGGTCACAGGGAGAAGGGAGCCTGCTTCCTGCCTCCCCAGCACTTGCAGATGGTCCCCAGGCCTCAAAGTGCCTGAAGAGAAAACATAGTAGATGTGCAATTTGCAATTTAGGAAAAGCATTTTGAGTGACACTCAGAAAAGGGACGGATTGTTGATAAAGTAGCCACAGACATATCAGTAAGTTGGGACAGAGACCTTCCCTGCCCGACAGGGAAACAGTTCCCAGGAATGCACTCAGCCGCGGAGGTGGCTGCAAACAGCACATCCCCTCCCTTGTCTCCATAATTGCTATTATTTTAATAGACAGAGCTCAGCTCATCCAAGGGACAATTCAATTGCAGATATAGTTTACTCTCCTGTAAGCACTAGAGTTTAAATTTTCAAATTATCATTATGTGTTGGTTTTCAGCGCATGGAAATGGCATAATAGTAACATAAGAGCAAATACATATAAAGAGCTTGCTGCGAGCCCTTTCCTCGTAGTAACTCACACTCCTCCACCCCCACCCCACTGCCTACCTCCGCCACCTCCATTCAGTGTCCCTTCATTTTGGGCACAACCTGTCCCCCGAGGTCCCCCACAGCCCTCTGATCTGCCAGGGGGATCGCCAGCCTGCTCTCTGCCCTACCGACCGTCAGGTTCCGACTGGCCCTTGAAGAGAAGACCCTGGGGTGACTTAGTCTTTAAGAAGAAATGTGACTGTCATCTGTGAGCATTTGTCATCTGAAAAGCTAGAAGGAATGGGCCTAAAATGAAGTCAGGAACATCTGAAGGAACTTGGAGAAAGCCCAAGTGAGACAATATAGCACAGCTAGTGAAGGGGTTGGCAGTCGTCGTCCATAGAGATCAAAACAGGAGCACCCAAGCTATGAGCCCGGGAGTCACTGGAGTCCCTCTTCTCACTCCTCCTGTCCTCTGTCAGCCATCAAGCAGTGTCCACCTGCCTCACACCCCCTCCAATGCTGGCTGCAGGAGGGGGGACTTGCCTGCTTGGCTGTGTGTCCTCCCAGTGCCTAAGGCAGTGGCCGGCACGTGGCGGCCTGCCTCTTCCTCTGCCCCCCTCCCTGTGCCTTTGCAGACTCTACCATCTCTAGCCTGGTTCCTGTGCTCCCTTCCTCTTCAGACTGCTAGAGGGTCTCTTAAAATATAAGCACAGGCCCCGACGGGCGTGGCTCAGGGGTTGAGCATCGACCTAGGATCCAGGTGATCTGGGTTCGATTCCTGGTCAGGGCACATGCCTGGGTTGCAGGCTTGATCCCCAGTTGGAGGTGTGCAGGAGGCAGCCGATCAATGACTCTATCGTTGATGTTTCTCTCTCTCTCCCTCTCCTTTCCTCTCTCTGAAATCAATAAAGGTATATTTTTTCAAAAAAAAAAATATATATATATATAAGCACAGTCCCGCCCTGGCTTCCTGCAGGTCCCTCAGTGGCCCCCAGTGCACAGGACTGCCCCCAACCCCTCGGAGGCCTTCTGTACCCTGGCCCTCCTCTCCTGTGCAGCCTTCCCCCCTCCCTCCCTCCCTGCAGTGCTGCACCACTCCCCCCTCCATGCTTCTGTGCCTGCTGCGCCCCTACCCAGAGCTCCCTAGCTGCCTGGCAGACAGTCTTGTCCCCCAGACCCTGCCCACAGCCCTCCCCTATGGGAGCTGTGCCCTGGAAGGCTCCTGCCCTTCAGTTTGGATTCGGCCCAGCATGCACAGTGTTCTCTGGCCACCTGCCTCTACCTCCATCACAGCGCTTGCCCGGCCTCCCTGTCAGCCACGCACCAACACCTTTTACCGAAAGCCAAGCACCGTTTGAGGTCAGGATGTGGGTGACAGAGGGGAGATGGAGGCAGATGGGCCCCGCCCTCCCGGAGCTCCCTCTGCAGGGCACCTGTCAACACTAATGAGCCTTTGCGTAAGTAAGTGGTCGTTCAGGATGTAATCGGCCCAGCATTCGCCCAGTGTGCCACCAGAGCCAGCGCGTTTCCCCTCCGCCTCTAGCTGAGCAAAGTGCAGCTCGGAGGGGGCAGGGCCGGTCTTCAAAGCCCCCCTCTCAGCTCTCACTGCATTGCCACGAGGAGGGCCGGTCCCTCCCAGGCCTTCCCGTCCGGCAGTTACAGGATCGCCTGACAAGTGCGGCAGAGGGGGCAGAGCCAAGAAGCCAGGGGGAGGGCAGATCTTGGGGGAGGGCTGTCCTGAGTCCTCCGAGGACATTATGTCAAAGCAGGGACCCGCAGGAGGCAGGGGAGTCAGCTGAACAAGAGCAGAGGGTGCAGGACATTCTAGCCAGAGGGCACAGGCTGGGGAAGGTCCAGACAGGAGCAAAGCGGACAAATGGGAGAAGAGGAAAGAGTGCTGGCAGGAGAGGTACTGGAACGGAGCAGGTGGATGGCAGGCTGTGGGAGCCTTAAAGTGAATGGAGATGGTTACGCTTCGTCCCAGCAGCAATCGGGAGCCCACGGGTGGTTTTAAGCGGGTGGTGGCTTGGTCTCCTACCAGGCTCACTCTGGAGAACAAACTGGGCAGGGACAGATGTTGGGGTGGGTAGTCGACGTGGCCAGCTCTTTCCCCAGGTGAGAGGTGCTGGTGGTCTGAGCGAGCGTAGAGGCCTTAGACATGGAGGAGTGAGTGGACCTGAGAAAACGTGAGGGAAGAAAGGCTCACAGGGCCTGGACATTGTCCGGGTGTGAACACAAGTTGGGAGGGGAAGAAACAAAGGATGCCACCTGGTGTGTGGTGCGGGCGAGTGGCTGGCCGGCAATACCACGTGTGGGGCCAGAGACACAGGAGGAGAGGGCCTGGGCGCAGAAGAATGATGATGTTAGGGGTCTGCGTGAATCTGGTCCCCGGGGGACCTGAGTGGCACTTGGGAGGTTAGGGCAGGACGCAGCAGAGAGTTGCCTAGATGTACACAGGTAAGAGTGTACACAGATCCTGTTTGAAGCTGCAAGAGGGGGTGAGCTTACTGAGGAAGCCCAGGGAAGCGACCCCCCGGTTCTCGCTCCCCACTAGGAATCCCACCTGCACTGTCCAGTACGGGGGACACCAGCCACGTGTGGCTGTTTCCATTCCCGGTCAGGTATTAGAATTAAATACCCAGCCTGCAGCCACGCCAGCCCCATGCGGGCGCTCAGTGGCCATGTGGATAGCATGAGCAGCTCTGCCGGAGAGGGCTGTCTAGACTCGATGTATTTATTTGTGTCCGCAGCTCGCAGGCACTCAGAAGAGCGTGCAGTTCCTTCCACTAGAGACCTTTAAGAAGTAAACAGGCGTAAAGGTCAGAAAAGCAACCCCATGTGCTTTCAGAGCCCTTCAGCCAGTGACCGGCCTTGTGCTGGGGCTCGGGGCCGCCTGCACCGCTCTGGCTGGAACGCGGGAGTCTGGGCGAAAGGGCTCCTCGAGCACGAGGAGGACCCTGCGTGCTGACTGACTTAGCTCTTCCTTCCTCCTTGGGCCCATCGGAGCAGCACATATGCGTTTAAGCAAGTGAAGCCTTCTAGATTACAATTCAAAATCACAGTGATAGATTAAAGGCCTTCCAAACCAGTTCTGAATCGTCCTGAATGTTGAGGTTTTGCTTTTGTTTCAGTTTCCCATCTCCACTGAGTGTATACCTTTGTTCTTTATTTTATTTTTCAGTCGGATGTCATGGATCAGAATTTGTTAAATTTCCTTCCAGAACAAGAACATTCAGAAGTTTATAAGATCCTCTCTTCCCATGTGCTTGTGACAGGTTCCCCCTCCCCAGGATACTTAAAATGTAAGTTTGACTTCACCGGTTCTGCCAGATATAAAGATAAGAATTTTACTTTTGAAAGGAGGTTAGAATAAACTAAGAAGGGAAGACTAATTTTAAGAATAATTTTCCTTGTGACTCAGGACATTTCCAAGATCCTCAGAGGTATATTTTAAGTTTAAAGCTAAAACTGGAGTTTGGAATATATGAGACATTTAACTTTTATGTGGAAAATTTGAAAGCATAGAGCTTAAGAATAATGATTTGTTTTGCATGTAATGCAAGAGATTTCTTCTTTTCACATAAGAGTCTTTTAGTGTAAACAGTGCAAAAGTCAGTTAACAAGCTGCTTATTTGGAGGACAGTATCATGCTAGATTTGCATGAGACCAAGTAACCAATTGAAAACCGAATAATTAGGTCAACAATTCAAATTCTCTTCTCCCAAAACTGTCATTGGATTATTTATATACATTTTCAGTTTTCATGGAATTTCTAAGTTTTTGTCAAAATTGGTGACCTGGCTAGAGGACCACGTGTGAACCACGTGTCGCTCGATGAAGCAGACACAGCGGTGGAGGTGGCGAGGCTGCGTTGTGCTTGTTCAGCCTTGGTCCATGTTCCATGAATAATGTGTCCTGTTGCTCTCTGATTCTCCTTCAAAGCAAAGGAAAGATTAAATTAAGTGGAGCATCTCTGTGTGCACAGGTGTATCTTAATACACCATGTGACGAGAACTGGGGGTAATCAGTGCCCACATGCCCACCACAGGCACCTGCGAGCCAGCGGAGGCTAACTGGGTCCAAGTATGGGATGCAAAGCATCTGTAAACGAAGCGGGGGCGGGGGGCTAATGAGGGATATTCTCACCGCGTGTAGACTAAACCCTGCGCGTTTCACGCAGACGAGGCTTGTTTAGCCTGCAGCGTGTGACACTCATGCTCTTTCCCTTCTTTTTCCTTGAATGATCCAGCCGACAACGATTTAGAATTTTATTGCCATCTTCTCAGGGGCAGCTTGAACCCAAAGGAGTTTCCAACGTATGAATACATAAAATTTGTAGGAAATTTTCACTCCTGCGACAACGGTAAGCCTAAATTGTCGCGTCATCGCGCCCATGATTTTATCACGCGGATGTGCACCCGGGCGTAAGGAGCAGGGAGGCGGGAGGCCCGAGGGTCTGCTTTTCACGCTTGCATCTGGATTTTCATGTCCCCAAGATGTGTTTTTTGTGCTTGTAAATGTTATTTCCCTTTCGAGAGGAACACACTCCCACCTCTGATTCTGCCAGTGCGCAGAGTCCCACCGAAATGTACATTGTTGTTTACTTACGTGCAGGCTGGGGGAATAGTTCTGTGAGAAACAACTTCCAGTTAGTAGGGAACAGCTGGGCCTACGCGGGCAGACGGGGCTTCCTGGATGACAGTCCGTAACCGCGCTTTCTGCGTTTTCATCTCCCTTTTCACAGCACTGCCGTGTGCGTATTTTAATACCTGTGGTCCACAGGCCTGTGCTCACTCCAGCCCTTAATGCACAGTAAGTGGCCTGCAGTCTAACGGAGTGAACTGCCAAGTCCAGTGGTAAAGCTGTCCTTTAGGGAAACAACTGCCCAAGCTGTGGCCACATCGCTAAACCAGACTAAAACCCTCTTTACTTCTAACCCTGGAAAAATGGGAGTGCAAACCTGATGCCAGAAACTCAGAGACACGCATCCCAGCCCACAGCCCCTTGCGCGCCCTCACAGGCCCGTCTGCCTTTTGTTTGTTCCGCTCCTCAAAACTCAGTGCAAAACAAATAACTTTGAAAGATCTGGCATTTCATAAAACAGCAGAGACGGGTAACTAGAAGGAAGTATTGACAGAGAGTAGTGGAAAGAGAGCAGGAAAAAATACCAAAGGAAAAATACAGAAAGATGGGCCTTGGAAATGAGAGGTGGGCAGGTGAAGGCAGGAGGAGTTGGTGGCATGCTGACTTGTGCTGTTTGGTTTCTGTTGTCCAAGCTGGGGTCCACTGTTGAGTTCAATGACTTCAGTCAAAGTCGTCCAAGAGTTTCAATGAGAACCCCCCAAAGCAATGGCATCGGGTCCTATGCTGAAGCTAACCAAGGTTTTCCCTTCAGCCTTAGAGGGTCCTCTGTTGTGTGTTATTTGCATAAAGCACACATGCTTTGTTTAAAAGACTAACTAGATGCTAAGCAGCTCCATCCTGCCAGAGTGATTTCCAGGCCCAGTGTTGAACGCTTTGCCTAGATGATGGTTCCATGGCCGACTTGGGCCCTTCTGGGAACCTGCCCATTGAGGGCTCAGCGTGCCCAGGTGGTTGGAAGTGATGGTAGCGGGCCCCTAAATCTAGGCAAAGCAGATGAAGCCAAGGCCTGACCATGCAAACCTGACCCATCTGAAGGGCTCCGCCAAACCTCCAGAGATGAGTGTAGAATGAATGAACCAGACCAATAAGGAAACAGTAGTTCGTTGGGCTCAGATAAAGAGAATGACCTGAGAGGCACCTCATAGAAAACCCCATGATACGAGCCCTGCTGTGGTAAGTCGTGGGGTGAGGCAGCTTGTGGGAATGTAGGCTCTCAGGTGTTGTCTAAAGATTCCAGTTCAGGAGATCTGAGGGTGGGGCGGGGATTGTGTGGTTGGAAAGAAGCTTGGGGATCTGACGTAGGGCCATGGACTTGAGAAGCACCACCCTATTGCAACACTGATGCCATTCCACAGGAATTTCCGTGGCACTCGCCTTGCCTATGGCACTCCTTCCGACAGCTTTATCCTTGAATGAAAATAAGCAGTGGTTTGGAATTTGATTAAAGCATGTGCTGTGGCCATAATGCCAGCTGCTGAGAGAGCAGTGTATCCCAAGTAGCTGTGTGCAAAGAAGGGAAAGGCCCCAGCCCCCAGAGTGCCAGGACTGTGCAAATTATGGGATGCTGCTCCCACGTGTGTCCCCATGGCAACTGTGCAGGCTCTTAATAAAAGAACCAACCTATGATTGGCTGGTGAGCAGCAGTTGTGTCCTTTGTAAATTTCCATTCCCACGACTCTCATCATGACGCCCCTGAGTCACTGAACCTTCCTGCTGTTTGTCACATCTCAGGGATCTGAGGAAGCAGGCCGGCTTCGACAGACTGCAGGGACTTATTAACTAGCAAGGCTTTATTTCCACTTCAGGGTGAGACAGTGTTTTTTTGCCAGAAAGAATGTGTGGAAATGATGTGCGATTTTTTGTTGTTGACTCTATTACAGGTGTCCCCCAGTGCCCCCCCATTGCCCCTCCATCCTGTCCCCAGGCCCTCCCCACACTATTGTCTGTGTCCATGGGCTGTGCATATATGCACATATGTTCTTTGGTTAATCTCCTCCCGCCTCCCCCACACCCTCCCTTCAGCCTGGCAGTCTGTTCCATGCTTCCATGCCTCTGGTCCTATTTTTAGAAACCATTACTGCTATAAACACACAGCACTGTAAGTGGGAATTTAAAAGTGGGGTGAAGAGTGACTTTCCCGGGCCTGTTGACACACCAAAGTTAGCAGGGGCTCTCTTGGGAAAAGAATCTCCCAGCCCTGGCCAGTTTTCTCAGTGGTTAGAGCGCCGGCCCGTGGACTGAAGGGCCCAGGGTTCCATTCCAGACAAGGGCACTATCTGGGTTGCAGGCTCGATTCCCGGCCCTGGTCAGGACACATGTGGGAGGCAACCCACTGATGTGTCTCTCACATCAGTGCTCTCTCTCTCTCTCTTCCACTGTCTCTGAAAAGCAATGGAAAAAATATCCTCAGGTGAGAATTTAAAAAAAAAAAAGAGTCTCCCAGTGAAATCATGGAAAACATGAAATGTAATTCTGACTTGGATTACAATAGATAGGAAAAAGCATCAGGAGACAGGTGAAGAGCAAAGAGGGAGGCCTATGAAATCACCAGCCACCAACCGTTTTTGACCTATAGACTATTGGTTTTGACCTATAGACTATGGTTTTTGACCTATAGACTATGGTTTTGACCTGTAGATTATGGTTTTCAACCTATAGACTATGGTTTTCAACCTATAGACTATGGTTTTTTACCTGTAGACTATGGTTTTTGATGTATAGACTATGGTTTTTGACATGTGGGCTATGGTTTTTGACCTATAGACTATGGTTTGACCTATAGACTATGTTTTTTGATCTGTAGACTATGGTTTTGACCTGTAGATTATGGTTTTTGACCTGTAGACTATGGTTTTGACCTATAGACCATGGTTTTTAACCTGTAGACTATGGTTTGACATAACATAGGAAATAACCCAAATTTGATTTTGTTGGTTTACTTTTCAATAAATTTTGAACAATTGGTTTAAAAATATAGCTCATCTTAGGGGGATTCTTTCCTGGACCCTGAACTTAGCCTTTGCCTTGACCACCTCACTGGACCTGCTCGAGAGCCTTGGGAGGCAGCACTGTTGGGCTGTCCCATCTTCCCAGCAGAGGAGACAGATGTGTAAGGAAGTCAGGGTGGGGCCCACACCATACCCATTCTAACCCTGAGCTCGTGCTCAACCAGTGCTTCGCTGCTCCCACACTCCATGTTGAAATTAAATACAGGTGCACAGCACGGGCCTGCCCTGCCCTGGTATTGGGGCCTGATGTCCACAGCTATGCACGTCCGTTCTCCGGCACCCACGCACCAAGCTGTTTTAAGGATATCTGAGGTTTGATTTAAATCAAATACAATCAGACACGCAGACATGGCAGTGACTGTCCTGAAGGAAAATGTTTGCCTGCCCAGATACAGCAGGCAGGGCCCCTCACGCAGGGCCACACATGGAGGGGCAGGAGAAAGCATGCACAAGAGCCTCTCCTGTGGTTTCCCCTGGAAAAGACAGGGGAGGCAGGTCAGCAGGCATAGGATTGGCATGTGCGCATAATTCCAGGGCTCTGTGCTGCAGGGGCCACCCCAGCTGTCTGGCCCTGGAGTGATTAGGGCAAGGGGACAGTGGCCCAGGGTGTGAGAACCAGACAGTGGAGGTGGTGGGGTGTAGGCTGTGCGTCGGTTGATTTACATGTGAATGGTACCCTGGAATTGGCTGACCCTGAGGGGACAGTCCCTCTGGGGTCAGCACAGCCCCAGACTTCAAAGGACCAAATACAGAAACTAGAAAACCTGGCTGCCACACAAGCCACCCATCTAACTTCCCTGAGTCCCAGGCATGGCACGGGTTTAAAAACGGGGAGGGGGGGGGGCACATCTGTAATACTTTCAACAAAAAGATAAATTTTTTAAAAAGACATTCTATAACTTTTATATATTTCCCAACAGTGCAGAATATGGCTGCTCAAAAAATTAAAAATAAGTAAAAACAGTATGTAAAGTGTAGAAGAAAAATAACCAGGAACATCAGTTTTACTTTAATAGAAGACCTGTTCACACCTCAAAGAACTATGTAGGGGACCCTAATTTGGTCCATTACCGTGAGGAATCTTTCCTTCCGATAGGGCTGTTTAGTTCACAGAGCATTGCCTGACACATCCTGACTTGATGCCTGTCAAGAAGGTAGGAGGCGCTCACTTACATAAATAATGGCATGGCAAGGACGGCAGTCTTTCCTCTAATCTGTGGGCTCAGTGCACCCCTTCCTGGGTCCATGCAGCCCGAGCCTGGCCCATAGATAAGCACCTAGCAAAACAGGTTGACCTGCACAGAGGCTTGGAGGACTGGGCCCTGGATACGCAGTGCTGGGGCAGAGCCAGGATTCAGACACAAGCGTCCAGCTCATGCTCTTCCTCGGGAGCTGATAACAGAGCTGTCTGACTGCAAAGCACATTCCAGGGACGAAGTGGCAGCTTCCACGAGTACTCCCACCACTTCCTTGGCCTTAAATGCAAAGTAAAGATTAAATCCACACTGGTCAGTGCTAGGTAAACCGGAGCCTGTCTAACGTCCAGCGCCTTGTGGATGGTCTACACTGGAAGGCCTCCTGAGCTGCCGTGTGGTCAGGAATGTCCACCCTTGGCCTCATTCACTCCCCATTCTGCACCCCACCCCCCTCTGGTGCTCCCTGATGTCCTTTCCCAGGCCCCTCACTCAGGGGCACCCCTGCAGGACTATTC